AATCTGTTCTGGTTTTTTTTTTACGTGATCTTCTATTAAAGCATCCCCCCCAAAAAAATCTATAAAAATGTATTGCAAAAAAGTAAACTGGATTAAAACACACAAAAAAAACACAGCAACTACTTGTGTCTCCTTCCAGCGGTAGACCAAAAGAAAAATAAGAGCAAAATTGATGTTTGGCTTATATAAACTTGCCCGCAGATGGACAGATATCATGTTAAAGCCACTTGACCTCACCCTCACCTGCAACGGCTCAGAGTTTTGTTGCTTTATCGGTTATCTCGCATTCAGTAAAGCATCACGCAGAATTAACATTTACTTTTCCATAAAGATACGACGGTGCCTGGCCTGGAAGAGGCAGCCTGCGATGTCCCAATAGAAAGGAAGGATTCTGTGTGCAGGAAAATATTTCCCCCACAACCACAACTTTATCTCCGTTATCTTCAGCTCTGATAAGTGCCTGAAACCATATATCTTTAAGTGATATTAATAGGTTGTCCGTATAAGATAACCTGTGTTTTACATTTATTATTAATTGAATACTTTGCTTACTGTATCCATCGCATCATCTCTGAGGTCTCATTGCTGTGATGCTTTGTTCCAGTAGTGCTTTTTTGTCATTTATTATAGTTACAGGTCTCTTTAATAGGCCAGAGGAGGTTAGTGAGCCTATAGAGCAGTTTGCTCTGCAAGCTATAGAGCAGTTTGTGAGTGGAGGAACCGGACAGGTAATTATCATCCCCCATAGTCCTCAGTATAACAAAGAATTTAAAAAGTCTTTAATGTTTACTTTAAATCAGGGGTCAGCAACCTTTTCCATATTTAGAGTCAATTTACAGTCATTAGACAGTCAGCATTCCATTTAACCATAATTCCTAGACCTCAAATGAGCCCCAATTCCTGCACCTTCAGACCTCAAATCAGCCTTCTTTCCTGCACCTTCAGACCTCAGATCAGCCCCAATTCCTGCACCTTCAGACCTCAGATCAGCCTTATTTTCTGCGCCTTCAGACCTCAGATCAGATCCAATTCCTGCACCTTCAGACCTCAGATCAGCCTTATTTCCTGCACCTTCAGACCTCAGATCAGCCTTCATTCTTTCAGACCTTTAGATCAACCTCAATTCCAGCACCTTCAGCCCGCAGATCAGGCCCAATTCCTGGACCTTTAGCCAGCAGATCAAACCAAATTCCTGCACCTTTAGGCCACAGAGCAGACCCAGCTCCTGCACTTTCAAACCTCAGATCATTCCTAATTCCTGCACCTTCAGAACTCAGTTCAGACCCAATTCCAGCACCTTCAGACCTCAGTGCAGACCCAATTACAGCACTTTCATTCCTCAGATCCAGCCCCAAATCCCACATCTTCAGACCTCCAATCAGCCCCGATTCCTGCATCTTCTAACCTCAGATCAGCCTCCTTTCGTGCACCTTCAGACCTCAGATCAGGACCAGTTCCAGCACCTTCAGATATCAGATCAGGCCTAATTCCTGCTCCTTCAGATCTCAGATCAGCCCCAATTCCTGCACCTTCAGCTATCAGATCAGCCCCAATTCCTGAACCTTCAGACCTCAGACCAGCCTAATTTCCTGCACCTTAAGAGCTCAGATCAGCCTCATTTACTACACCCTCAGAAACACAAGAGTTTACATTCATTCCTGCCTCAACTGGTGGTTCCACCAGAAGGAGGAAGAGGGAAGATGGACCATTCATGTAACGATGTCCGCAGCTGTAGGTGGACATGCGCTGGTGCTGGGCGGAGGACCAGCACCTGAACATCACATCATTCAGGCATATCTGTAACATCATTGAGGTTGGTGGGCTGCAGGTGCAGGCCGGGCTTTTTAATTGCAGCCTAGTGAGTGATCAGTTACAACCTATGGCAACAGTGCTGTATGGGTAGGGAGCGAGAGCTCATCAGAGGATCCTCTGGTCCTGTGGCAGGCCAGGCCGAGTCTGGATGCATGCCACTTGACTATCTACCAGGTTCCATATAAAATATCACATGTTCGCCATGGCACGCGTGCCCTAGTTTGCATATCCCTGCTTTAATATATAATATAATGTGATATATCAGGACCTACTTTTCACACCACCCAATTATTGCTCCATTAACTGGAGCAGCCCCAAACTTTATTCAAGGCCTAATACCAGCAATAATGTTAAGCCAGTTGGGGAGAGACCTGAGCCTGTCACTTGTAACCTTCATTCCTATATATATTATTTTTTATGTAGGCCACATCAATTGACCAATGCTGAACTGCCCAATCAGGTGATGATCCAACATCCTGCTGTTCAACTTGCACCCCATGTACCACATTCAGCCCTTTGCTACTGTACTGGGGATAGGACCATTGATTTGTAACTGGGCTGTAATGGCAGTGAACTCTAGCAGTCCTATGTAATATGTCCTAATTCACTAAGTGTCTCCTGCAGCATGCCCCCAGACAATCTGTTGTGGTACATTCACGGTGTCTGACAGTCTTCTGTAACATGTCTGAAGTCTTCTGTAGAACTTGATATACTGAATATTATGTGTGATGCCCAGGGGAGTTCAGGGCTGCAGTTGAGGACCCCTACCTCTGATGGGCCCCCCCCCCCCCCCCACTAATCTAATATCTATGGGTGCTCATAGGCACCACCCGCTGATCACTCTTCCAGGGAACAATTGATAGGTTGGGAAACCTGTTCTGTTCTCTATTGCTCACAATCTGACAAGCAGTGTCAATAGTATCCTCCCGGCTCTTCTCCTTCTTGACATAAACGAATATGCAGTTACAAGTGTATGCAACATAAGTGTGGTTTATATAAAACACACTGAAAAGCATTGATGTTTTTCCACTGCTGGAATTGAGGCAATTGTTATTGAATTGAGAGAATTGCTTGCAGATATTAGATTGTAAGCTCCGTGAGAGCAGGGACTGATGTGAATGTGCACTATGTAAAGTGCTACATTGGCGGCACTGTATAAAAGCCAGTAATAAATACATTTGAGACCATCTATGCCCAGCCTTCTGGCCTGTGTTGATGGGCTTTTGTTCACAATAAAGTGGTTTTGCATCCCCATACAAGTCTATTGTAATGCAAAACCTGCCTGAAGTACAGGAAATGCAGGTCAGAAGGAGGTCAACTGCATCCGTCAATGGTTTCTGAAAGATCTCAACAGCGACTCGAACTGATGCCAAGCCCAAAGCCCGACACAAGGCCCTTATAAACCGGTGAACCTCATTCCTATGCGATAACTTCGATTCATAAAACTTCACAGGAGGATGAAAGAGTCAGTGGCGCTGTGTTATGTTCTCCGCGAGTTCCTTACTATCTTCAGAAACAAAAGTCTAGAGTTTTATCTCGAAAAGACAAAACATCCTACAGCACGGCGTGTAAACAAGGACTGCGTGCATCCCCAGCGCACAGGGGTTAACCTCTGTGCCTCTTCACATCTGACACGAGAGGATGCCTCTACCCTTACACGCCGCATCCAATAACCCCCCTCGCGTCTCCGTAACTAAGCTGATCACCTGAGTTCGTAGACCTCCTGTCTCCACTGAATCATGAACATCGGAATCTTTTGTCATGTCCCGAAATGGGAATGCCTATCAGAGGCTCTCTATGAGGGCAGAGAGGCTGATAAAGTGTTTCAGATAAGGTTATGTGACACCGCAGGTTTAAAAATACCAGAAATGAAATTGTCCCTCCATCTGCAAGGCTTCCATTTCACAGCCCGGAGCCGACGGTGGCACCGTATACCTGTCTTGGGTTCTGTCTTGAGCGATCGGAAAGAGAAGAGGTAGAGTCCAAGACGGTGCTCCTTGACCCAACCGCGCCGGGACTCTGTCTTCCGCGAGGCAGCCGTGCAATACTAGACTGTCACTGCCCCTTATCTCGTCTGTCTTTTTGCTACAGGAGTCCGGGAGCGACAATGTGGCAAGTTAGAAGGGAGATGAATGATATTGGGTGGAACATGAGAATACAGCCTGAAAGGGCCGCTGTCTGTAGAAAAAGGCCGTAAGACCTACTGGAATAACTGCTAGTATCATTCAGGAATTTCAGTGATGAGATAATGAGACGTGTAACATTTTATGCAATTAGTTTATATTTATATGTCCTCATAATCTGCACTTCAAAGGAAATTATAATAATTCTTGTTCAGTTAGAAATTTTTTGGGGGAAAGTTTTAGTTTTTGAACTGATATTTATAGCATTTTATAATCGTATACAATGCTTAAAGCTGAACTAGCAGATAAAAACAAGTGAGTGCAGCTCTGTGTTCATCAATGCATCATTAAATGTATTTGTTTTTATTAGGGATGCACCGATACCGGTTCTTTGGTATAGAGTACCGATATTTTTTTTTTTTTTGGTACTCGCCAATACCGATACCAGAAGTCCCGTAATGACTCACCATCCAGCTTCCCAAATAGCTTGGAAGCCTTCTCCATGCTCCCTTGTTAGCAGCATGGAGCCAGCTTTCTGGCCAATCTGGAAGCCCGGGGCCGGTAATGACTTGCTGGCAGGCAATGACTCGCTGCCCGGCTGCCTGATTGGCCAGATCCACAACCAATCAGGAAGCCGGGCGGCGAGTCATTACAGGTCACCCAACTTAATGATTGGCATGTAAGCATGTAGCCGGCTTTCTGGCCAATCAGTGAAATGTTCAAATGGTTGGCCACACATTACCCGAAAGCTGAAATAAGGCTTGCAGTGGGAGTGTCTGCTGTGTAAAATGATGGGCAGAAGGGGGAGATTCTTAGGTGGGCTTACAGAAAGGGGAGAACTTGAGTATGACCAGTCTGGCGATGACCAAACAGAAGGCATAAGGCGGTAACAGTATTCAATGTTCAGCAATGTTCAGCAGAATGCCGGGCTTTGGAAGGTGTTGTCACCCTCCAGCGGGGTGTAAGATTGCTGCATTTATACATTACATTATTGCCAAGTTTTGCCATTGCTGTATAACTGCTGCTTTTGTCATCCACATTTAACAATTCTCGTTTCATTGACAGATGGTCTGAAGCCTGAGACCAAGCAGGTTCTCAGCGCCTCCTCCAAAAAGAAGTCCAAAGGAAATAAAGGAGATGGAGAAAACCAGAAGGAAGAGGATGTTCGTCCGGAAGGCCAGGCCGTGCTCATCACGCTGGGGTTTAAGAGATACGTGTTTGACCCACAGAAGAAAATGACTCAGTCGTGATTCCTTACCTACAGTGGCAAGAAGTTGGCATGGCATGAACTGTGTGGACGCTCCCGCCATACACATAAATAATGTAACACAAACTATGGGTTTGTTTTCGCCGCAGAAGGCCTTAACTTTTTTAAGAAAAAGTTTTATTTCACAGAGGGAATTGGGGGCTCCAGAATTAAAGAAAAATGTACATAAACTTTATTGGTTCTTAATTTGTAATGTATTAATTTTCCTAATAATACACTTATGCTGGAGTTCCAGCAAGTGGATTTCGCCTAACAGGGAGGTAAGTTCCGCCGAACGGGCTTTCTTCAGGCGGTGAGGCATGTGAAATAAGAACACCCCTGAGTAGGCATTTGAGAGCTTCCCATTTGACCGGGGGGGCGGTAACATCCGTGGCGTGTGTAGCGATAAAGGTTGCGATTGTCGACTTGACGGCATCCACGGTAACTAGATCGCGTAGTACCGTCTCATTAAATCGCCATGTAAAAGAGTGAGGGGGACGCCCAGGGATACAGAGAGCTTGAGAGACAATCTGCCGGCTGGGAAGAGGGTGAGTCCAGGGTGGCCGGGGAGTCCCCACGAGGCGCCGCCATGCGGCCTGCCAACTCGGCCGATCGCGTCGTCACCGGAGCCGCAAAAAAGTTGTTTATGGCGGCTCTCGGGTTCCGCGAGTGTTCCGGCTTTGACCCCTGGGACTTCTTATTGCGTTTAGAGCCCATATTGGTAGGAGACGAGGCAGTCAGAGGCACTTTCGCTGCAATGCCCGGTTCTTCTTTAGCGGAGCTAAGGACACACACGTCCAGCCGCCGCCATTGATAAGCTCCGCCCCCTTCCTAATAATACTTAAAGGGTTTTTAAACTCTCGCATGTTTTTGCATATATATATAAGGCTAGCAAGCAGTAGATATATGCAAAACGATGTTAAAAAAAAAATCTCCACCGCGCGCCCCTGTCCGAACATCTGAAGAGTCTAAGGCGGCCGCAAAGGATCTTGGGGCAGGCGCATGCACAGTACGGATCATCGGCCGGGAGACGAGGAGAGACACAAGGTAAGTCTATGGAGCGGCGTGCACCCGCACAGACTCCGTGGGACATGAGAGAAGAGAAGTCAGCGCTGGAGGGACAGCTAAAAACTCCTGGAAGGAAGACTATGATCGGATTAAGAGGCATCATTTAAGGTAAGTCCTTGCATTAGCACTGGGGGGGGCATTTGCCCTTAATGTCACTTTATGTAATGTACAAGAATATGAAGGGTGTTTGTACAAGTGCTTATAGTGAACCTGTGGTCTGGCTTTGGACATTTGCCATCAGCTGTACTCATATATGCGACAGCACAGCGGTGGGCTTTAACAATGTGCTGCCACATAAATGTGTATAGCTGGTGTCACTGTTCTGCATTATGACTGTGCTGTCACCAACAACTCCTGATCACTTTTCACAATTGGGAACTGCTAAGGCAGGTCTCACAATCCCGTGACCACTGTGAAAGTCAAATAGAGATGAGACACCTGCACTCCAAATGCTCAAATGCGTGCACTTATTGACGTAGATGCAGCATATCACACAAGTGCAACGTTTCGGGTCTCGCAGGATCCCCTTCCTCAAGCAGAACATGTGATGTCTGAGGAAGGGGATACTGCAAGACCCCGAAGCGTTGCACTTGTGTGATATGCTGAATCTACGTCAATAAATAAACACATTTGATCAGCATTTGGAGTGCCGTTGTCTCATTTCCATTTGTGCACATGGGTGAGGTGTCTGTGCTTGACCTCCCAGGTCAGCACTCCCACTATGAAGGGGATCCCACTCTGTCTTCTGGATTTATTATTTTGTTTAGTGGAGAATGTAGCAAAAGTGAGGGATGCTTTACCATAGCAGCCATCAGGCTCAAGGTGTCCAGGAATAAAGCCAGGACCTATATCGACATGTTACTTCTGGATGGACTGAGTCTTTAAATTCTTTACCTTTACCTCTCTTTTGGGTCTGAAATACTGGGGGCAAGTACCGGTGGCATAATGAAGGACAACTACTTGAACAAAACAAAGTTAAGTTTTTAATTTTTCAACTAAGTTTTGCTTTCAAAAATAAAACTAAAGAGATCTTGATTGGGTGTGCTTCTGTAGAAGATGTAGAACTATGTCATCCCTCCTGCTTTGAAGATCGGTAACCGGGCTCCTTGAATTGAAGAGGGCATGAAGCGGAACTAGTCACAGCCTAAACAATTCTTATTACCTGTTCTTCAGCTATGTACACAAGATGCACCGGCAGACAAAACACAGCAAGCACGGGAGTGTGTCCTCTGGATGGGACTGCCCGGTTTGAGGTTGTATCATCAAATCGCATTCTACCGTTCTAGCTGTCTGGATGGACTTCAAGCTCTCTCCTTTGGGGAAGTCTCCAAAGTTTGTTTTATCAAGACAAAAAGAAGGTAGTGAAGGGTGACAGGAAGATAAAACAGGTTATAGAATAATCTTGGTTCTTGGTTTTCATTGGTTAACTTAAGTTTACTTTCACTGGAGGTTCACCTTAAGAATTAAGGGGCCACTATCACAATGAACTCCAGGCAAGCAGCTACATATACAGCCAATATACATAAATAGGGGATGTTTTTCCCTGCCAAGTGATGTGCATTCCTGTGTATCTAGTCCTGAAGTTGGCACAGGCCCTGTCTGTGTGAATTTCGGGACTAGAAGAATGATTTTTCTATGCTGCAGTTAAGTAACACTTACAGGTCTTGTCCATCTCCTGGAGGGCCTGTCTCTCCACACTCAAGCAGAGGCATTGCAACATCTTGGGCGGCAGGCACTGAGGTATCGGCAGAGACAATGTGCAGGGCAGCTAGCTGGTCCTTTCATGACATGTTGCTGCAGCATTTTTAAGTAGATCTGGCAATCCTAGCTACGGCTGATTTTGGCAGGAGTGCTGGATCATATGTGAAATAAAACGTGTCTGAGCATTGCTTCCTAGTAGCTAGTTATTTGTTTACCACATTTATGCTGCCATTTTGGTGCCAGGACAATAAAAAAATTCTATCATACTTAACTCGCTATGTAATTTCCCTTCCTGGGCCAATACATGGCAGCCTACTTTGCCCACCCAGTTCGTTCCTAGCGATTTAAAGCGAATGGGCTTAAGCATGGGTACAAAAGTCTTAAAATATCAAAGTTTTGGCTTTAGATATACTGTAGGGTGATTTAAGTTACACCCTAAATACTGAAGTATGCTCCTGAAACTAATACGAATGAAGGAAGTCACTTTAGTAGTGAAATGTCTTCAACATTACAGAACAAGTCCAGTTAAATGGGATTAACTGATACTAGGTATCCACATAGGTAGCTAAATGTAATTGATATCATGTATGAGGTTCATATTAGTGGGACTTGGGCTTGATAATCTCCATCGGAACCTTGGAAAACTAGGCCAATATAGAAAAAGCTTTGCACAAAAGTCACAACCTTGTCAGGGGCAGAGATGGCAGCAAAGACCTGGCCAAGGGCAAAGTCACCAGCTGAGACCTGGCCAAGGGAAGAGACACCAGCAGAGACCTACCCAACGGCAAAGACAACAACTGATTTAGCCAAGGGCTGAAACAGATGTAAAGACCTAGTCAGGCCCTGAGACACCAGCAAGGATATGGCCAAGGGCAGAGACACTGGAAGGACCTGGTGAGGTTTTGAGACACTAGCAAGGACTTTTGCCAGGGCAGAGACACCAGCAAAGACCTGGCCAAGGGCAGAGACACTGAAAAGACCTGGTCAGGTTTCAGGACACCAGCAATCTCCTTTGCCAGGGCAGAAACACCAGCAAAGACCTGGCCACGGATCAAGACACCAGCAGAGATCTGGCCTAGGTTATAGTCACCAGCAAAGACCTGACCAAGAGCAAAGATGCCAGAAAAGATCTGGCCAAGGAAAGAAACACAAGCAGAGACCTGGCCAGGGGGTGATACACCAGTAGGGACCTGGACAAGGACAGAGACACCAGCAAAGACATGGCCAGGGGCAGGGACCAACAACGACCTGGCCAGTAACAGAAAAACTGTCCGAGTCCTGGCTGGGGGGCTGAGACACCAGCAAAGATCTGACCTATGGCTAAAATGCCAGCAGAATCGTGGCCAAGGACAGAGACACCACACCAGCAAAGACCTGAGCAGCGGCTGAGACATCAGCAAAAGCCTGGCCAGAGATGAAACCCAAACCCATTCCTGCCAAAAGAGAGAGGCGCACTGGTTTTGGGGATTTGCCCAGCAGTGTATGAGTCGCAAGATGCTGATGTTTTCCTTTTGTGATTCAGCACTCCGCAGAAATAAAGGGGGGACGAAATTCAGCTCCGACTGGTTTCTAAAATGTGTGCAGAACTCTTTGTAAATGTTATTCCTAGCTGTTTCATATTAAGCCCCTTCTATTTAATGTTTACTTTTCCTTTAAACTTATTTTTGGATTGAGTCCCCCTACAAAAAAATTCAAGAAAGCTGAGAAAAGTTTGGAATCCTGACAGTGAAACTTCACTTCCTCTGCTGTTTAGAGGGGCTGGCGGAGACAGAAAATCTCTCAGCAGATGGCTCGCTGCTACAGCTTGTAAAATGCAAGGAGATTTTTTTACACTGTGCCCATTAAAATTGGAACAACCAAACTGGGGCCAATCAGATTGCGCATGGGTCGGCTCCTAATTCCTTCATGACTATCTTGGACTTGTGTTTGAAAGATGGATGGACAGGTGATTTTATCTGGG